TGATGAAAAATTAGGTGTCTATTTACTTGTGACCACTCAGTGTAGTTTTATATACCTTCTACAGAGTTTCCATGAAATATTGCCTTAATCTGTCATATGAAGTAGCTTTCACCAACTATAACTGATTTCTACACATTTGATACATGACATTTCTCTCCTCAAGCCAAGAGTGCATTTTTGACATTACTGCTAAGAATACACATGCCTTCCAGTATTTTTATAAGCATTATTTTGGTGTGGCATTGTCTGATTGATTTGATGACAACTAATCACAGTATGAACTTTCAACACTTGATAGTATTTTCTGCAGTTCATACTTGTAAAATAGAAGAGGAGCAGTTCCATAATACTTGCATTTTATATCAGTTTGATGTACTGTTTCTATTACTATTTCCGATATTAATAGTTTTGTTTTGAGTTCAATTACTAGTTATAAGCATTTTTTTTAAAATACAGGTTACAGCTTTTATCATAAGGAGGAATATTTTTTAAAACTTTCTAGGTGAATTTAGTGAAAAAAAAAAACTTCAAAAATACTAAACAATAAGAAGCTTATAAAACAAAATTTGACATTAACAGAAAGAAAATGCCTAAAACTTCTAGAAACAATGATGACATTGTCATCCAAGGAAACTAGTCATTCTATACTAAACAGTATGACTCCTTAATGGTAAATATATTGAATAATACGTCTAAATTTACTAAAACACTGTCTTCAAGTCAACATACAATAAAACATTAAGCAAACTACTTGGAATACTATTAAAATAAAAACAATTATTTTTAAACTTTACAATTTTTTGTATATAAACCAACCAAGAACACCAAAAATTCTGTAAAGGCTCAAAAACCTTATGCCCAATTATATATTCTTATAACTCTTTAAACCACAACCTTTGTAAATACTTCAACAGGATTTTGGAACCACATGTTTCCAGAATAAGCATCCAATTAAAAAACACTTTACACTTCCTACAACATTATTATATTTAGCTTTGATGCCATAAGCCTATTTTCTCAAACCCCTTGTCATAAGACAATACAACTTACTACAGAAATTTATTTCACAAGACACAAAAGAATCAACATAAAATAGGAACACCTAATCGAACTGTTACAACTAGCCACATTTATCTGCTTTCATGTAATACAGAGATTTGTACTTACTTCAGTACACAGACTTGCCATGGGAAATTCATTATTGGGTACTCTTGGCTACTTTTTTCTTACATCACATAAAACAACATGCTATGGTCACTTCCTTATATAATCCTGCATTTTGGCTTAGATATGTAAATAATGTTCTTTTGTGGTTTTGCTTGTCAAGATGAATAAACAAATTCTTTCAGTACATAAACAACCTACACAAAGACATGCAATTCACAGTTGAAATTAAAACAACTACACAATAAATTTTTTGAACATTAACATCATATGAACTCCCCAAGGCTTCACCACTAAATTCATAGGAAAAAAAAACAAATTGGATATTACATGAACTGGTTTTCTAATCATATAACACATCAGAAATTAGGCACTCTTAAAAAAGCCTACATTTAGCACCACACTGTATGCACCACAGAAAACACCAATGAAGTTTTTTACACTTAACTCAATGCTTCACTAACATAAACCAATTCATTATTACAGTAGTTACACAAACTATTAAAGAATTTAAAAAACACAGACAAGACATGTTAAACAAACAAAAAAAGAACTCCACAAAAGAAACATATTCGCATGCTTTATCCTATATATATAGAGGAAATATTAGCATACCTCTATCAGAAATTTGGAAAAGGCTAGTACATAAATATAACCATAACATAATGACTAGATTCATTTCCACCCCCTGAATGGAAATAAAACACACACATTAAAAAAAATTATGTAATGAATCCACCCTGCCAGGAAGAGTTTCCAGAATACAATGTAACAATTGCCCAGTCTTATACGTAGGTGAAACAAGACGTAACTTGAACAGTAGGTTAAAAGATCACCAGAAACTCCCTTTCTAAGTCCAGGAACATATGAACAAAAACAACCACAGTTTTTCAGAACAGAATGTCATCATACTAAAACATGAACCTGACACTTGTAGAAGAAAAATTAGAGAAGCCTTATTAATAACATCAAACAATCCTATAATTAACAAATACCCAGACACGTATCTATATGTTTTGATTGTTAATTCCCCAGACATTGCTAATCTTATGCATGTCTTTTGTACAATATATTCTACATATTCATATTTATTAAATTTTTTGCTTGTTTTCTCTTCAGCTGTAAATAAACAATCTGTCAATTCACGTGAATTGATATGCCTATGCATAAATAACCATTATCAATTCTCTAATTTAAATATATTTTTGAATGTTTATTTAAATACAAAAACCTTCTTTACTTTTATAATTTGTGTATTTGAGAATGATCATACCAGTAATCAAAATGGCTGTATTAAAAAATATTCTTCCATACTGTAAAGGGCCAGGTGGTTAGGGCATATCGCAATCTGAGGGTTGCGGGTTTGAATCCTTGTCCCCCCAAACATGCTCGCCCTTTCAGCCAGTGGGGCATTATAATGTGATGGTCAATTCTACTTTTTGTTGATAAAAGAGTAGCCCAAGAGTTGGTGGTGGATGGTGATGACTAGCTGTCTTCTTTCTAGTCTTTCACTGCTAAATTAGGGATGACTAGCACAGATAGCCTATATGTAGCTTTGTACAAAATTCAAACCAAATCTTACTGTAAGAGCTGTAACTTGTAATATAAAATATTTCAAATGTTGTTCATATCGTAAACATTAAGAATTTAAAGCTCCACTTAACTAAGGTAGTATTTCCTTGCAAATAGACAGCAGAAAGTCCTAAACATCAGCCAAAGGATGAGTCGATTGTAGCAAGTCTTCCTCAATCAACTGTTGAGGCTCAACTACGGTATGAGAATGATAGGCTCAAACTAGCACTTGCTCAGAGGTGAGTGAATATCTGGAGGATGTAGATCATATTATGTATTAAGTAAAAAATAATAAACTTCATATTATGTGTATGTAATATTAAAGCTTAGTTTATGTGCTAGTATGGCCTAGTGGTTAGCATACCTGTACTATGAATTTAAGGGTTCATGGCTTGTGTTCCAATGCTGCAGAAACACACTTCTCAATTTAGGTTATTGGTGAAATATAAGAATGACAGTCATATTCCACTGTTTGGCAGTTGCTGTTGGCTATCTGTCTTGATATAACTGTTCAGAAAGAAAAAAAATGTACAGTACAGAGTGTTATAACCAACTACCCAAGAAGGCACTTATGATGAACAAGTATGGATTCAACAGACTACCCAAGCAATCAGTTAAATGAAATAACTTTTTATTTAAAAATGTACAAATGGATATAAAAAGAACATAGATAAGATAAGATAAAAACAATCAAATTTTCATGCCAAAAGTGAGCAGGCTTAATTCTACTCTAAACTCGCTGCAATTAACAACATTACATCTCTACTTCCTTCTGACACTGAGCAGTGTCTTAGTTTCACCTGTAAACAATTCTTGGAACTTCTTGCACAAAGTTAAACAATTTCCTCTTTAATGATGTAATTTATGACCATATAGATGGAATCCCCCGTGGGCCCCACAATAGCCAATAGTTTCCTATGCTACCATGAATGCAAGTGATTAGAAAACTGCCAATGTGACTTTAAACCTGTCATTTACAAATGTTATATCAATACACTTTCTTGCTATTTCAACAATTGAGTCACATTTCCAAATTCCTTTCTTACAATATCAAGTTCAGATGTTCTCTGGGCTTTGCATTTGGGTCTTCCAACTTTAATTCCTTTATTTTGTGAGAGAGTGCAATGACTTTAGCCTCTGAAGCCACATGACAATCAGCTAAGCAGCAGATGATACTAAATTTTGGGAGCCAAGGCACCACAGTTTATATATATATATAACTTTTTTTATATACTGTATTCATCAAGAACATATCATTAGCTGAAAATTACTTGTCTGAAGATCTTTCACTCCTAGTACATGTGTGTAACAACTTTAGTTCATCTACACACTTGTTAAACAGAAAGTATTTTATTGTTAGTTTTAATCTTTCATATATTCAAAAGATTTCAAGAAAAACTTGATTAAATTACTCTTTCTATAAAAGCAAATTATTATAAACAGTTAAAATATTGTATATTTGAGTTTATAACTTTACCAGATGCTTTTTCAAAAAACGACTGGTACAGATGTGGTAATTTGAAACACTTTGTTGCCAATCTTCTTGCTAAAGAGCATGATATAGGTTACCTGAGTGTGCATTTTAAATTATAAATCAAAAAATTTTCTTTTTTTTCTGTTTGGCATTGTAAAGTAGACCAAATCAAACCCCATTAAGGAGTGATCAATAAAAGTTACAGTGTGTTTCTTTTAGATCTTAGTAATACAAAAAAAAATAAGGGGCAGGGCTCAATTTTAAAGTTCCAAGTTGTCCTTAGGACAACCTGCCCCTTTCAGAGTTTATCTGGAAGTCTTTATTGGTTGTCCGGGAAAAACAACAACATATACCCTCAAAAAAGGTCCAATTATGACAATATTGATGTACAAAGACCCTAAGAAAGACAATTAAAATAATTTTTATGTTTTTATATCTTATTTATTTCCAAAAAGTACAATTAATGTTTAGTTGGCAATTTTGCATCTTTATTCAACTAATTTTTGAGGTTTTGTTACATTGGAAAAAGTAAGCCCAAACCATGCTAATGTTACATAGGAAACAAACAGTCAATGACCTGTAAAACTTTTGAACAGAGCAGTGATCTTGGCCAATCATGTTCAATGTTTTCATTCTAACCAGCTTGGCATGCCCACCAAGTACAGCCTTTAGTAAGACTAAGGCTTGCAAGTGCCCTGAGGTCTGTTGAGGGGCACGGCAGTGGGATATTCCAAAGTTCACTAGAACTGCATACTACTTATTGAGCTAATATGGCTACTGCTGTTTCATGGATTTATGAAGAAATTTGTCACCAAAATTTTTTTATGACAAATCAGCAAAAGTTAATAAATAGAATGAAAGGGGGGCTGATGATATTACTGACCCCGGGGCCTGTGCTGGCTCTCGACGACCCTGAGTGTGGCTGGTGTTAATAAAGTAACAACAAATACATGTGTTAAAAATAGAAGTATGAAGCCCATATTTTTTCTAGTGTTTTAATAACACAAAATAATAAAATAAGAACATAAGTGCTACATATTCTTCAAACCCATTCAAATATCAGTTCACTATGGTGAGTGAAAGACAACTAAAACACTGTACATCATGTGAGAATATACTTGTATTGAATATTAAGTGAAGATACAATCCAGCTCTATATTTATTCAACACTTACTGTTCTGTGTAGCTCACATTTACTAGCATTTACATATTTCGAGCATCTTGGTTGTCTAATATTGCATTTGTTTATTCAAGTGATTGTAGAAGGCAAAAAAAAAAAATTTAACCCTTTTTGCATAAAAAAAATTCACACAAAAGTTTATTTGATTTTTGCTTTTATAGTCATTACTACTTGTTCTAATGGAAATTATTTGTATTTCATTATTCTATATTTAATAATCTATATTATTTTATTGTCTTTATTAAGGTGTATTATGAAACACATTCAACTGTATATAAAATTCGTTTATAAAATGTTTGACCTCACTAAAGAAATGAAGGCTTCCAAATGTAATGATAAAATGAAATACTTAATAATTGAGATAATTTATGGTAAATCATTGGTTTGGAATAGGTTTATTGATAATGTATATCTTCAGTTGGATCCGTAGGAAATGAAGTTTATTAGAATTTGCTTACAATTTAGGTTAATATTTTAGTTCAGAACTTCACACTGTTAAATGATAACCTTGTAACTTGTGATACTTTTGAAAAATGAATAAAAATAAAAATAGTTTAAATTATAAGAAAAGCATTCTTTGTAGTTAAACATTGAAGTTGAAAAATGTGTGCATATGTGCAGGATTTTTCTAGCAATGTTGTTTAATACTGGAAGTTTCTCTAACTGTGGTTGTGACTAAGAACTTTTATTTTAAGAAACTTGTCATAATTAATTTAAAACCATTTCACCAAGGTCTGTGTTAGAAATTTTCTGTCTACTATTATATTCTTAAACATTACTCCTAGTTGTTTTGGAAGTTACATTTTCATTTACTTTTCATATTATTTGTTTTTACTCTTTTTTTTTTTTTTACTGATTTTTTTTGTAAGTTTTCTGTAATTTGTACATGCTAAATTTTTTAATGTTTACCTAAGCAGTGTTTTCAGTTAAGTTTTTCAGTATCAAATTTGAAAGAATGTATACAAGTTTGTACGATTCCTTGTAAATGAATGGGATTCTTTATTTTCATAACTAAAGATGTTAAACACAAAGTATCTTATTTTAAGCTTTCATATATTCATGTAGCATATCACTGAAATTGGTCAACCATTGTGGGTAATAAAGTGGTTGGTTGAAAAATAAATATGAAAATGTCATTTCATGTAATCCAAATATATTTTTCTTAATTGATAAATCCAATATACAGCCCTTCTAACATTTCAAATATTAGGCCATGAATTATGACTGTATGACTATGGACTTACGAACATAAAATCTAGGTGTTGATTCTCTGCAGTGGACACAGCAGACAGTTGAATGTGGCTTTGCTCTAAAAACAAATGATTAAACAGCAATTTGGCTTTTAAATTTCTTTCTGTATCTTTATATGTAATTTTTGTTAATAGCAAATGCTGTATCCATTAAACTTATATTTTCAAATTTACCATTTGAAGTATTGTTATACCTGATTTGAGTTTCTGTTGATGTGTGTCATGTTATATAGAAATTATTGTACAGAGATATCTGACATATGTATAGATTTTACATTAGTCATTGAATTATGGCATAATTTAATTGTACTTAAGTATATCCCTTGTTACATGTTCAGTATTACACTGAAACATTTTTGTAATAAGCATATGTTGGCATGTTAAATATGGTTTTATATATATATTAACATTTTAGCCTTTTTATATACTGACACTGCTGTATGATCACATTTTGTTGCTCATTCACTTTCTACTACAGGGTGTTTTTTTAATAGATCATACATTTGTAATAACTCTGTCATATGACATAGTCTTAGCAACATTGTAATGGAGACTTGGAAGATTCAGTTAACCGTGAATGATATTTTCAATGTGTTCTTCTTTCTGTAACATCACAACATAATTGTGTTCTTTGAAATTCAGTGTGCTTCCCAGCATATTGCATCCTTAAGCTTCTGTAAAATGTGGGGGTTACTTTCAAATACCCCCCAAAAAATAAAAGAGACAAGGGTTTAAATCATTAGAAGCCAAGATAATGACAAGGAAGCCATTGTAATCCACATTCACAGATGTTGAGGAATCTGTTCAAAAGAATTTTATAACTGAAGTTTCATAAAGAAAATGAAGTACAGTATAATTGTCACTGTGCTGCCACCTACTGAACTTGGATGCCCTAAGCATGCAGTGCAAAGTTTTCCAGTTGCACACTTTTCACTTGTCATTTGTCAGAATTATAAAAAGTCACCATATAGCATATCACTGAAAATGGTCAACCATTGTGTAATAAAGTGCTTGGTATAAAAATAAATTGGAAAAATATCATTTTATGTAATCCAAAAATATTTTTCCAAATTGATAAATCTGATATACAACCCTTTTAACAATTCAAGTACTAGGCCCAAATTTTGACTATATTTGCTGGTCAGTGTCAGTACTTAAGTGATTTGCAACTCATTTTTAAACACACAGTTACTTGTTAAAGTTAGTTGAACTAGTATTATATTTAATATGAGTTAAGTCAAAATTTGACAATATTAATTTTCATACATATATTAATAAATAACAGAATTTAAGGAAAAACTGTTCTGTTTTTGTTTTTCAAACTAGTTGAGCTATAAAAACCAAAATTTACAGTGAAGAAAATAACTTAGTTTTGTCAGTCACTGTTAGCTTATTTTCTAAACTGTCTGGGTGTTTTAGGAATTGTTTACTTTTGGATTCCATGCACACTTGTTGTGAAATGTGGGAACCCCATCTCTTACTTTCTACCCTGCAGTCACTCCTTACTGGATGTGACATCTCTGCTATTTTTATCACAGTTGCCAAAAAATGCTAATGAGACCATTAAAATAATTTTTGTATGATTTGAAAACTGTAAAATGTGTTTCATGAGTTCAAGTGCCACACCTCATGATAACTTAATTTTGGATATTGGATACAAACAAAACTTTATGCTTCTATGTATTTCAGGTAAAGAAAAAATGGGAATCCAATTTGTGAAAATTTATGCATGTTATTAAAAAATGGGATTCCAGCAGTGGGATTAGGATTTTACACATTATATAAGTATATGAGAAACTGTTCCTACTTGTTTCTGGTAACTTAACTTTTTTTTTAATGCTTGGCAATGAATTATGCTTTTACTAGATTCTGTTATATTTTTAGGGAGGTTTTTTTTAGTTGAAGCTGTAACAGGTTATCTCCAACAGTATTTGAGTAGACTTGTTAAAGTTCTGTTAATGTTTTCTATTGGTTAACAAATTTGAATTGTTTACCTTTTTAAAGTTGAACTTTTCATATTGTATATTCTTTTCAATATAAAATTTTATTTTGATCTGTTTTTGCAGTCATCAGATTATTTTCTGAATAACTTGCAGCCTTATCAAAACTTTATTTTTAAGGATAGCACTCATACTTTAAAGTAATTTTTATTATATATTTGAGAGAAAAACACACTATTGTAAATACTGTGATTTAATGTTCACATCTCAGTAGTGATGGTTTATCTCTTATTTGTTTGTTTATGTTAAAATTTTTACAATTTACAGTTCAGCCAATGCCAAAAAGTGGGAGGTAGAACTACAAACATTGAAGACTAACAATTCACGTTTGACAAATGCATTACAAGAAAGTACAGCTAATGTTGAAGAATGGAAAAAACAGTTACATAGTCTCAAAGAAGAGAATGCTAAGATGAAAAACAGAGTAAGCATTGCATTTTTTAGGTAGAAAGAACTGGAGGGTACTTAATTATGAAGAATGAAAAAAGCATGTGTACAAAATGGTTACAAGATTGGTCAGTTCGATTGACCTCGTTGCGAGATTCTGTAATAGTTTGTAATAATCAAGACATGTTTTGATTGAATTTGGTTTACCTTGTAAGTAAGTCTAAAGCTCTTAGTAACACTAAATTGATGCCTCCCCTGACATAACCATAATATTATGATAAACAGACTGCATATCAACAGTCAGGAATATATAACTTCCAACTGCAGTAATATTAAAGTCATGTATGGGTGATCTATATGTAGCTGTATCATCCCTATATTCTTGTTTACATTATTTTTGGGACTGCTATCCCTACATCATTTTACATTTACAAAATATTTATACTTGTATACATGCAAATCAACAAGATACATACATTCTCTGGTATTATTATCATGCTCAAAGAAACTTGAATCTAAGTCTTTCAGTAATACTTTTTCTTCTTTCTAGGTTTACAAACTTTACTAATAATGATTAGTTAAGTCTTCTAAAAGCTCACACAGTAGTGAAATATGAAATTTGGAGTAGTTTAATTTTTTGTAACATGAAAGTTTACTTTAATTAGCAAAATTATTTAAATTCAATTTGGTCAGTTAACAGACTATTAAATTACTAAGAAATCATCTGTTAGTTAATATAAAGACTAATATTGTAGTACAAGTTCTTATTGTACACGGTCTGGACCTATTTGGAAAATAGATGTTGTATTCTTACAGTTCAACAAACGAAACAGTTGTACATGTTTCAGGAAATAAAATATCTTAATGGCACAGTATATCAAGAATTGATATGTATATGGCTGTTAACAGCATGCAATTTTAATAATAAATAAATTAAGAATAGATTGTGTGTTTTTCCCTGTGGGTCCAGACTTCTGGGACACCCTGTATTTGTTGTTTGCAGTTATGCGAATTATTTTCTTCATTTGTATTTGAAAGTCTTTTAAAAATTTGTTATATTAAAATATCTTTTCCACCAGGCAGCAGAACTAGAAAGTAAAAAAGGAGATGCAAATGGTATAGCAGATCTCACAAAAGAGATAGCTTTTGCTCAGTCAAGATCTGAAACACTTGAAAATGAGGTGAAAAAAAAGGAGAAGGTATGTTTCTGTTTACATCTGAATATCTAGAATTTTAATTAAAATTAATTAATTTTCAATTAGAGCAAGCCTAGAAAAATTTGTTTTGATATTTCAAGCTTCATGGATAATAAAGCTTTTTTTTTTTACAACAGTAACTGTGATTTATAACTAAAGAAAATCTATTGGTTTTGCAGCTCGTCTTTTAACCATGTTAAGCTTTGATCCACAATCACATTAATGCTATTTTGGTCAATTAACTTCAGTTTGAGTTTATTAATCAGTATACTTTCCTTTATTTGCAGTTATTATTGACTGTTGGCTCTAGCAAGGATTTTAAGTTGTCCTCTACTTAT